AGGTTATCATTTACTAGTTTGATATATTATGAAAATTATAAAGTCGTATAACTCTACAGACTTTTAAAGCTGAAGAAAGTGTAAGGTTTGTAAGAATGATTAAAATAAATTAGGAAGTCTCTATGGAATATGCTGTGTGGGGCTTGTGTAGAAAGGCTCCTTTTGGATGTACAATTGAGAATTCTTGAATCCTGTACAACGCAAATTAAACTTTCAGCTTACTTTGATCGTCATCTAACTTAGAGAAAATTGCTCAGGCTCTTCTGAAAGTTGTTCTTTCTCCTGGGTCACACCAAAGGCTAATTGACTGGGACATTTGGATTGCAGCATTCTTTAGAGATACAATCTAACTTAATATCCCCTATGATTCTATGTGTATACCCCTTCCTCTTGATAAAAACACTCAGTCCCTAAGAAAAAATTGGATGATGATATTAGAGGAAGAAAAATATCATTGACAGTTTGAAGCTTTATTCTTTTATGAGGTAAAATGATACTGGTCTATAGAAACTGCCTTCCTCAAAGTGTTATAGTTCGCAATAGCCCTGAATAGGTACAGACAGTAGACAAAGCCTTCTTAGAAAATTGCAGACAGGTAACAAACAAGTTCATCGTGACTACAGTCATTCATTTTTGAAGAAGACGAAAAGTTTTTCCCCTTGAACGTTCCTTTCATAAATTCTTTGGAGACTCTATTTTATTCAATCGCATTAAAGAAAAACCTCTGGCTATTGATAAATTTTTGAGTATCTTCTGGCTATAAGAAAACCTTTGTGACCTGGTGCAGTGTAATATTCAAGCTGACTACTAGTTTTCCACCCAGAAAGAAATTTCTTGCTTTATGGTAGGTTCCCTTGTTAAATACAATGGCAGGGTTAGAGCCCTTCCATTCTATTGTAACTTGATTCACCTGTTCATCACCTAGATAATCTATAGAAATCTTAACATTTTGGCTCTGTATTGTCATGATTATCCATCCTGCCAGTGTGGGACTTAGGAAGTTATAAGCAATCCAAAAATCCTCATATGAGAAAACAACATACAACATGATATTCACAAAAAACACCTTTTATAAGAAACTGGGGTAAAAATTTCTATAGAGAAGGAAAAGCATACTTTAAGTCACTCTCAGATTTACACGATTTCTTCTCTAAGGCAATCCATATAATATCGGCACTTTCCTCGGGATCTTTGAAGTTTTCCACTTGCTGTGTTCCAGAAGTTTAATAAAATAAGATTGTCAATCTTATTATTTTTAATTTATTTTCATCTAATCTCTAATTTCCCTTTACTCTAATTTAAACTGCCACCTCTATCTCAAACAAAGCCTATTGATTCATCAGAAACTCTCTGACTTTTACATCTAATGGTTTCTTGAGTATTGTCAAAGCTATTATCAAAATGTAAATTAAGTGGGACTTGATATTGAAGGGACATTGACAGCTTCACCTAACAAAGAGAGTGTATACTAAAGATGTTATTTTAGGCATATTAAAATAAATTTACTCCCAACAACTTCAAATTTTGTCATTCATTTCTTGAAGAAATCTTTTCAATAAAAATACTATACAGAAGTAAAAAAAAAACAAAAACAAAAAAAAAAAAACCTCATTTCCTGATGGAATAAATTCTTTTCACTTATTCCTTGGCGCTCACATAATTTCAAATCATTTACTTACTTAGTTCACTTAAGAAATATGTTCTCAAAAACACACAGCATCTAATAAACCAGCAATAATAAATACATTAAGGAATTCTGACACTTGTTGACAGCTCACAATTTGTCTTACATCATGTAAGAAAATTATGAGATCAATATCGTTAGCTCCCCAAAGTCACACAGATAGCCAGCGGATAATCCAGCACAGGTTACGTGACTCAGCACGTGTGCTTCTTGATTCACATGACAGACTACGTCTTTTCTGATTCACCATGGTGTCTCCTTGGGCCAAGTGATGGTAGGCATTTCATAAACACTGTATTTGATGAATGGATGAACGACTGTAACCAGAAAATTTACAGCCTGCTTGGAGACAACATATAGAACCTATAATCACAGAAGAAGTTGCATAAGGAAACACAAGTATGACATTTTACTTGGAAATCATGGTTTAAGATTCCCTTAGGATTCAAGTTATTGTGAAGAATGGTGCTGTTACTTTTTTTTAAGATTTATTTATTTTTCTTGGAAAGTCAGATAATACAGAAAGAGGGAAGACAGAGAGAAAGAACTTCCGTCCGATGATTCACTCCCCAAGTGGCCACAACGGCCAGAGCTGAGCCGATCTGAATCCAGGAGCCAGGAACTTCATCTGAGTCTCCCACGCAGGTCCAAGGTCCCATGGCTTTGGCCCATCCTTGACTGCTTTCCCAGGCCACAAGCAGAGAGTTGGATGGGAAGTAGAACTGCCAGGCATAAGAACAGGCACCCATATGGGATTCTGGTGCGTGCAACGAAAGGACTTTAGCCACTAGGCTACTGCGTCAGGCCCTGGTGCTGTTATTTTGAGCACTGTGAATGAACAGCCATGAGAAGGAGTTTTCCTTGGATCTAAAGTACAGCAGGCTTGGGCCCAGCGCAATAGCATAGTGGTTTAAGTCCTCGCCTTGGCCGGAATCCCATATGGGCACCGATTCTAATCCCAGCAGCCCTGCTTCCCATCCAGCTCCCTGCTTGTGGCCTGGGAAAGCAGTGAGTTGGAACTTGTTTATCTTATACAAGTTTTTATTTTACTCTTTCACAAGTCTTTTCTTTTATGTGATTAGGTTTGTTTTCTTTTTATTTTTAATATATTGAATATATCAAGATAATCATAAGCACAATTTTCATAAAAATACCAGAGCCCTTTGTTCTAATCCTTTCTGGTCCTAATCTGCAGAGAGATATACATTGGATTTTGGTATATATGAAATAGACTATAAAACAGGGTTTGGAACCTCTAAACACACACACACACACACACTATAAGAACAATTGAACTTTGAAGACTTCTACCAAATAAAGTTAAATTCATGTTCTGCTTGTTTTAGCCTACATTATCGCCTTAATGAATAGTAAATTGTAAAAAAAAAAAAATGTATTTTCTCCATACCATCTTGTACATGTGTGATTATGCCTATGGAATAGATCAATTAACAGAAAAGCAGTTCTTGGGGGATGGTAAGTAAGGGTAATAGCCTATAGATGAAGGATGTGATATGAAATGCTAGGAAGAGATCTGCTCCAAGAACATCTGTAGGAAATTTCAGTCAAGGAAGTGAAAATAAATACACAAAAACATCCTCAGAGAATAAAGTGCAATATTTGTTAATTATTCACTGCAGGCATACAAAAATGTGCTGAGAAAGACACCCAGAAGGTTATCTTCAAGGAACATGGGCTGTCATACCTCTCTTAGCTAAGCTGGCCAATATTTATGTAATTACAGTACCTGTAACTTACTGGTTGCTTACAGTTGGCAAGATACTTTCCGTATGTTAGTCTGTACTTAGAACAATATGAGGCACTAATCTATTCTCGCACTCCAGCAATCTGAAGCCCAGAGGGTTAAGTGGCTTCTTAAAATCAAACAGAAGAAAAGTGATAGAACTAGAATTCAATCCCACGTAGTCTGAGCTCCACAGTCAGGAAATGACCCATCTTATTTCATGCAAATGCTTTTTCATTGTGTGACTATACCAGACTTACTGCACTCAAAAGAAGGCAATCTTCTTTGAAATTAATTTTCAATGTGTAACATAATTTAAAGGATTTTTTTCAAGGTAAAGGCTGGAAAAATGAAATAAGATCCCAATAATAGTTTTCTTCTGTTGGAGATCATATGGACATTTATTTTTATATTTCTTCCTGTTTATTTATATTTTCTTAAATAATGAAGATGAGTTACTTTATAAGTAAAACAAGATGTTGGAGTTATTGTTGATTTAAAAAACATCATCTCGACAGCAATGAGTAAGATTTTTTTTTTTCTGCTAGTCGCTAAAGGACAAGCCCATTTCCCTGGTACTATACCTACTTGTCTTCTTTGGTTTTATGCATTCTTTGATCATAGAAGCTATATCTCATTACTAAGCACTTTTGAAAATTTGGTATGCTTAATAAATCCAGAAAGCATCTCATCTACCCCAAAGTTATTTTTTTAAGTTTGCACTTTTTAACAGACACTTCCAGCCATTCTGATCAGGTGGCTCAAAGAATTGAGTGGCCATCAGATTTATAGTATATAGTTCACCTAATAGAGATTTAGAGGGTGAAAAGAGACTGACAAAATTATGGACATTCTATAACTTTAAACTTTATGTATCACTTGAAAAATAGTTTAATTATATTGGTGGAGAAAATAATGTTTTATCAGAAAATATTTTTAATTTTTATTATAGTCAAATGTACTGCTCCATTAAATAAGAGTTCAACAAATGAAAAACAGAAAGATCATAGTAAGAGACCGTTTTCAAAAGGTAACTAGTTGGGGTTAAAAAAAATTTAAAGTGTGTCATTGTAAAAATTGAAAGAAAAATAAGAAGCAGGTGGGAGAACAGTAGTGAGCGAGGGAGGTGGGAATGCTAGAAAGTATCACGCTGCTCTTAAAACTACATTTGAAATAGAAAAAAAAATTATAAAAACCATATAAGTGATGAAAAGCTACATACTTCAAAAAGCACATACTTGTGTAAATTTATACACTAAAATAAACAGGTGGCAAGCCACTGGGCTTCAGGTTGACAGTAGAGCAAGGACCACGCTAGCCACTGCCATTGCAGAAAGCCTTGCAGCAGATTTTTTTCAGATTCCTATGGAGCCTGACAAGATGGTAAAGGTTCAAAAGATGAAAGCCCAGAGGGACCGTAACACTTTATACATGGCAGGTCAAAAATACACACAGGCAAGATCAGGTCCTGGGTACTGACGCAGAGTGATGACGTGGAGTGGTGGCGTCAAATCAGCGACTCTCACGTGGCTGAGAACTTTATGGTTCTCATAATGACCAAGGTCTAGAATGGCCGGTGACGTTTCTCAGCGCTGCCAGTGGCGCCAGTCGCTCTGCTGCTAAAGTCCTGTTGATTCTTAACCCAGCCCTCTCCTCAAGCATGTCAAAGTCCCCAGGGACTTCCAAAGAGGACCAGAGCATGTCGGAAGAGGAATCAGACGTCATGAAAACCCCAGAGTCCCAGAGTGGCTCTGTGTCGGCTTCATCTAGCATCCTCCGGCAGGAGGAAGACGCAGCCTCCACAATGGTTACTGGCTCTGACTATGAGACCATGGTGTCGGAGCTAATGTCAATGGGCTATGAGAAGGAACAGGTGCAGGCTGCCCTGAGGGCCAGCTATAACAACCCACATCGAGCCGTGGAGTACCTGCTCACGGGAATTCCAGGGGTGTCCCAGCCCGAACGCAAGATGACCCAGGAACGCCAGGTTGCTGAACAACATACCACAAAGGCAAGAGCAAGCAACCCTCTGAATTTCTTACGTTCATATCCTCAGTTCCAGAGTATGCGGCAGATGATTCAGCGGAAACCGGAGCTGCTGCCCAACCTCCTCCAGCAGCTGGGCCGTGGCAACCCTGAACTTTCCCAGCAAATTATACAACACCGAGATCACTTCATCGAAATGTTAAATGAACCCTTCGGGGAGACAGACGATGACGATTCGGACACTGACGTGGAAATGGAGATGGAATTGGAGGTCGAAGTGCAGGTGGAGGGCGTGGAGGAGGAGCCAGAGGAAATCGCCCTTGGAGAGGAGATTCCTCAATTTGAGGAAATCACCCATCAAGATCTAGCAGCTTTGGAAAGACTGTCGGCGCTAGGCTTTCCAGAAAATCTTGTAACTCGTGTATATTTCACTTGTGAAAAACAAGAAAATGTAGCAGCAGATGTTCTTCTTAACCAACTTTCAGATTATCATGAGTAGTACTGGGAAGCCCAGGCCACTACTCCACGTTTCAACAATAAAAGGAAAAATAAAAATCTATGTGTAGCTATATTTGTGTGGTTGTATTTATTTTAGTAGAAAAACAATTGAAACCTTTTAAAGAAAACAAGCGTAAAAAAGAAAAGAATCCCAGATTCCACAGTCCCTAACTGAGCCCCATTCCAACTGCTCCAATCTTGCTCTCTAAGGAGCACCAGGCCTGACAGTTCTCATCCTCCTTTAGATCCCAGCATGGGGATATAGTGCCTGGCAGGACCAGGAAGCCACAGGCACTCCCATCTTGATCTCTGTTCCAACTCCCTGCAGCCAGAAGGAGAGAAGCTGCTTGTTCGCTTGTTCTCCGATCCCTCAAAGAGTGCTTGAGGGCAACCCTGCCTTGCCTGTGCCACCATGAGAATTGCCGCATCGAGTTGGATCTTCCTTTCTAGTGGTCCAATCTTTTCATCTGAGGTGGGCCCCCTTGAGGCCCAAGGCTTCCCTGGCTACCTCAGTCTTACCTTGACCTCCACCCTGGACAACGGGTAGCATCAGCTCTGGAGATACAGGCCACTCCATGCCAGATAAGAGCCCTGTGTCTGATAAAGATTTTGAAGCAAATGCAATTTTTTTAAAATGAGTAAATAATAAAAATAAAATCAAACACATGGGTCTGGCACAATAGCCTAGTGGCTTAAGTCCTCATCTTACATGCCAGGATCCCATAGGAGGACTGGTTCATATCCCGGCTGCTCCACTTCCCTTCCTGGTGCCTGCTTGTGGCCTGGGAAAGCAATCGAGGACCGCCCAGAGCCTTGGGACCTTGCAACCACATGGGAGACCTGGAGAAGCTCTGGGCTGCTGGATTCAGATCAGCTCAGCTCTGGCAGTTTGGGCCACTTGTGGAGTGAACCAGTAGTTGGAAAATCTGTTTCTTCTCTGTATATCTACCTTTCTAATAAAAATTTTTAAAAATCTTTAGGTCAAATGGGCAGAGAAGGGGGGACCCCAGAGTGGAGCAGGCAGACAAGAGGCAGCTTGTATCCAACCCTGGAGCTACTCAGATCCTCACCAAGTGCTATATCCCAACGGCCAAGGAGACAACGGGGACTTGAACTGCCCTCGGAGGCCAAGAACTCTGAGGTCATCCAGAGTACTTGAGATCCGTCTCAGATCTCCCACATGGGATGGAAGATGCCCAGATCCTTCCGCACAAGATCTAATGTCATTGGAACAATAGCCTAGAGCCCTGAGCGGACCTCAGAAATGGAAGAACAGTAAACTCTCTTAGGGACTCAGGAAGGGAGGTTTCTCTGGTCCTTACTTAGTTCCAACTCTGGATCTCCACTCTCTCTTGCAATGACCATCAGGGTTGTTCTGGAGCCCCTCTCCCCACCCCAAAATTAGAATGGACAGATAGAGAACAACAAGGAAAGCTTAGAGCCAGATAGGAAACGGTCAGCTTGGACTCACATATACCTCACTAGGTAGGACACAAAGATCGTTTCCCCCAAGAAATCGTTGAATTTATCTGGACAATAAGGTGCTGGACTCTATGCTTGGTATATGCTTGCAATGAAAGAATCTTGACTGGATTTGAACTGTAATACTGCAACAAGGTAGAGGAATTCACCATGGGCGGAGGGCACGGGGAGGGTTTGGGGGAACCCCAGAGCCTGTGAAACTGTGTCACATAATGCAACGTAATTTAAAAAAAAATACATGCAACAAAAATAGTTTAAAACTTTAGTTATACTCATTCTTGCTTTATATTCATGCACCCCAATAAGTTTCTTAATCAATCCTGGCTGTAATAGCATGCTATAGGTTTTTTTTTTTTTAATTAATAGGGCTTTATTGCTTTGAACTTCTCTTGCAAAATGTTCTTTAAAAATGGAAAGAAGAAGTGTATTGATGGTGGGAGGGACATATTTCTAAGAAGATAACCACACTTTCCTCTCTGCTTCTGTCAACACCCCTCCTTCTTTCTAGTCTTTCTGTAAAGGTTTATTACAAAGGTGAGGGGACTACAGACACATGTGGACTATGCACAGGGATAGAGTGGGATGTTGGGAGGGGGAGTTGAGAGAAATCTTTGTACCCTTCCTTCCTGTGTCTGTGGTGGAAGAGTGTAGTTCTCCAAGATGCCAGAGTCCACATTTGCCAGGGAATGGGAGTGGTTACTGATGCTACCTCCAGGAACCTGGTAGAAAGAATGTTCTGGTGGAGGGGGTTATTTGTCAGGTGAATGGGATTTATCAAAACTTGGGAGGTGTGACTTATAATTCCAAGCTAGCTACCTAGTTGTCCATTTCGTTCCTGTATCTAATGGATCCTTCTCACAAACTGGAGACCTGCTATTCAGTGCCCATAACTCTGTCTCTGGCTTATTCCAGTATGCATAAGTCATCAAGATAGTATTCTGGGCCTGGTGTGGTAGCCTAGTGGCTAAGGTCCTCACCTTGCAAGCGCCAGTATCCCATACGGGTGCCAGTTCGTGTCCTGGCGGCCTCGTTTCCCACCCAGCTCTCTGCTTGTGGTCTGGGAAAGCAGTCAAGGATGGCCCAAAGCCTTGGAACCCTGCATCTACATAGGAGACCTAGATGAAGCTCCTGGATCCTGGCTTCGGATTGGCTCAGCTCTCGTCATTGTGGCCACTTGGGAAGTGAACCAGCAGATTGAAGATCTTTCCTTCTCTTGGTGAATTTGCCTTTCCAACAAAAAGTATGTCTTTAAAGAAATCCATCTGCCAAATATTTGAAGATTTTACATGCAAAAAAAATTTATAATTGTAGAGTAGGCTAATTCATAAAATAGATTCTCAAAGTATGATCTTCTCAAAACAGTTATTTAAGCATTTCTAAACTGTATCATTGACATCAATGAAGAGAAAAAACATACTTAAATTCATACGTGGCTTTTTTCTTAGTCTCAGTATTACACCCCACATAGGTTTATGTTCCATCAGTTATATTTTTGCCATAAAAGCATTTGTAAATGTTGATACCTATATTTTCTAAATAGGTAGAATATCACAGCATTGAGGATGCATTTATAAATTATATGTGTACCACAAAAAAACCAAATTAAAGGTTTTCTAAAGGTTTCTCGATTCAATAAGAGAATATTTCACTAACATATTTCTCTCCACCAATTATTCTCTACCTGTTACAGCCAGAAGACCAAAGAACGTGGCATTCAGGACTTCAGGAGAAAAGGCACATCTATTTACACATGAGAGCTTGATTGGACTCACATGTTAGAAGTCCCCATGCTTGGTCTTTCTTTATACCTTAAATCTGCAATTCATGCTTATAAGACAGTTTCAGGAGGCCCACAAATATAGCGACAAGTAGCCAATGTGTACAGATGTGGTCCCTGATGCCATCAACAGCCTTTCCAGACTGAGCTCATTACCCTAGCTAAGGGGACAATTTGTTTTGAGTTTGGGGGTCTATAATATCCTAATTCAAAAATTTTGTAACCCATCTTCTAGGGGCTGGTCCTGGGTAAGGAATAGTTATAGCTTGACATTGGTAACTTGGGGTTACTAAAAGGAATAAGGGCATTGAAGAAGCAGGGGCCAACAGCACTGTTAATAGCAGGGAAGCCAGGGATCCAGTAAAGCATGATACACAGGGGTAACCAATCTATCTGGAAGCCCAGACATGTGGATGACAACAGAGTCTCACATCTTTCATTGACTCTGTCATGAAGTTTTTGAGAAGTCTCTTGGACTACACCTGACTCATTTAGCACAGAAACAACCCTCTCTTAGAAGAACAGGCAAAGACCTCCTTGGGCAGCAGTCAAGAGATCTAGACATCAGTGATTTTTTGAGTCTGTCATTGGAGGGCCAAAGCAGACGGAGTCAGATCTGAAATGTGTAACAACTTGTTGGATGAGAACCCAGTATTTTCCTGAGACAGCCCAAGGCTCCAGAACCAAACACTAGGAGAACAGCAAATGGAGTATGTTTGTTCCTCTGCCCAATTAAGTAGGGCACCTGGCTCCTTGAAATTAAGGAGAGGTCAAGTAGACAAGAGGACTATTCTTGCACAACACAGGGAAACATGTGATCAGGCTAGGATGAGGCAGGTTGAGGCAGGTTCATCAGATCAAGATAGAATTTCCATACAAGGACTAGGAACATCAGGAGTGTGTAAGCAGAACTCCTTCCATGGGGGAGGGCTGTGGTGGAATTCATAGCTAATTATCACAAAGGCCCTGGGATAATGCAGATTCAGCAATCGCTGGACATTTGGGTTGGCTGAGCATGCACATCCATCAAAACTGAAGTTAAGGATTTATTGGTGCTGAAGCCAGGTGGACAGAACAAAACTGACCAGGCCACTGGGGAATGGTTCAAAAACCCAAGTCACCACGCCTAGCATGATGGTTCAACTGGCTAATCCTCCCCCTGAAAGTACCAGGATCCCATCTGGGTGCCAGTTTGTGTCCCAGCCGCCTGCTTGTGGCTTGGAAAGGCAGTAGATGATGACCCAAGTGCTGGGGCCCCTACACCTACATGGGAAACCCGGAGGAAGCTCTTGGCTCCCAGCTTCGGATTGGCTTTGCTCTCTGGCTGTCACAGCCATTTGGTGAATGAACCAATGGATGGAAGATCTTTCTCCCTGTAAATATGCCTCCCAAATAATATTAAAATCACTTGGAGAGTTTCCTGATCATGCACCTCTGAGCTTAGCCTGACACAATTACAAGAGACAAAACATCCCTCCCAATCAGCCCGCTATTCCTCTATAGGACACAGCTAGATGAACTTTTAGTAGCCAGCTACAATTTTGTCAGAGCAGCTTGGACTAAACCTATAGACAACAGCAAGGTCAATATTACCATTGTTCCCAAAGGAAAAAGGTGACATGGTGACCCAAATTCTCAGGTGTCCCTTGTGTTTTTCAGGATCTTGCTGCATGTTGATCATCTTACCTCTAGGTTTGTGGCTGGAGCAAAGGCTGCAGAGTCCTCAAGCTCCTACCATGCATAGGCTGACCAGTCTCTGCCGTGTGGTCAGGGGAGGGTGTTGGTATCTGAGCTGGGCAGGC